ATTCGTACGATTTTTTGAATATTAATTAATTAATTAATTAATAAAAAACTTTGCTATCACGGGTGTTGGCCGTTGATAGTAAGCTTTCAACGTTCGTGATCCGCCCTAATTGAACTCGACCCCCTAGATTATCCCCTGGGTCAATATACACAATATTAATAATCTTTTTTTGCAATAAAAAATCGAAAAGTAAAAAAGTATAAAGGGTAAATAGAAAATCCATCATATCAAATCATAAGCCATTCAAACATGAGATTTTAGTAGTAATAATAATAATAATAATAATAATAATAATAATAATAATAATAATAATAATAATAATAATAATAATAATAATAATAATAATAATAATAATAATAATAATAATAATAATAATAATAATAATAATAATAATAATAATAATAATAATAATAATAATAATAATAATAATAATAATAATAATAATAATAATAATAATAATAATAATAATAATAATAATAATAATAATAATAATAATAATAATAATAAAAGAAGAAGAAGAAAAAAATCAACATATTTACATAATTTAATGCATGATCATCTATTTACAATGTATCTTACGAATTTAAGAGAAAACTCATTTCATAAACAATTTAAATCCCCAATTGAGATTATGAAAGATTTTAAAAATCTTTCTAAATTTAGATATTTTCAATTAAGATTTTAATGAAATTCATTAAGGCCATATTTGATAGCATGGAATTACATGGAAATGAAATTTCAATTCCATCTTTTCCATTTTTTTGTTGTTTGGTAGCACAATTATTTTTATGGAATTCCAATTTTGATTGTCTTGGAAAGTGTGGTTTTCCATGTTTTCATGGAAAATCAATTCATTTTCCTGGGTACTGTAGCAATTTTTTATTTTTATTTCTTTTTTTTTTATGCAATGAAACAAATTCTAAGAATTATTGTAAAAAAATATTTTACTTTAACTGATAATTTTCATGTAAAACAAAGCTAAACGAACACTCAAGATAATTAAATTTCTTTAAAAAAAAAAATAATTTGGCAATGGAAACAAATTTCATTTCTAATACCAGTAAATTTTATCCATTTAATTGACAATTTTCATGTAAAACAAAATCAAACGAATATCAAAAAATACTTTTATTTCAACATTTTCCACGTGAAAAATTATACCAATCAAACACAATAATTTACAATTCCCAGGAAAATAATTTCTAAGCAATTCAATTCCCTGAAATTCGTTTTCAATTCAATTCAATTCCATCTTTACAATCAAACGGACCCTAAAATTTAGGTGTCCTCAATTGAGGTTTTAATTAAATTCTATGAAATCTTTTAAAATCTACGTATTCTCAATAATTTGTAAATTTGTAAAGATTTCATTAATAGAGTGATTTTAAAAAGTTTTGATGGTTTCAAGATTAAAAATACATATAACTAAATTTTTTGAAATTTCACTATATTTGATAAGATTCTTATGGATTTTATGGAAATCTATTCAAATTCACAAAATTTATTAGGATTTATAATCTTTTAAAATTCATCAAAATCTTAGTTGAAAACGTCCAAGTGATTCAATATGATATTAGAGTAGATAATTATCTTCAAGTCTTGTTGCAGCTCTTTCAAATGAATTTTACACAAATTAATTAGGCTTGGATGAAAAAAAAAAAAAAAA